ATATATAAAGAACTCAAAAAACTTAACACCAAAAAACCAAATAACCCAATCAATAAATGGGCTAAGGAAATGAGCAGACACTTCACAGAAGATACACAATTGATCAACAGATATATAAAATATATTCAACATCTCTTGCTATTAGAGAAATGCAAATCAAAACTACTCTAAGATTTAATCTCACTCCAGTCAAAATGGCAGCTATTAAGAATACAAACAACAATAAGTGTTAGGAAGGATGTGAAGGAAAAAGCACACTCATACATTGCTGGTGAAACTACAGATTGGTGCAGCCAATCCGGAAAGCACTACGGAGATTCCTTGGATAACTTGGAATGGAACCACCATTTGATCCAGCTATCACACTCATTGATATAGACCCACAGGACTTAAAATCAGTGTACTACAGTGATGCAGCCACCTCAATGTTTATAGAAGCTCAATTCAAAATAGCTAAACTGTGGAACCAACCTCAATACCCTTCAATAGATGAATGGATAAAGAAATGGTGGAATATATACACAATGGAAGATTATTCAGCCTTGAAGAATAGAATTATGGCATTTACAAGTAAATGGACACAGTTTGAGAATATCATGCTAAGCAAAGTAAGCCAATCCCAAAAAACCAATGGCTGAATGTTTTCTCTGATAAGTGGATGCTGACCAATAATGGGGGATTGGGGGAAAAGGGAAGAATGGAGGAACTTTGGATTGAGCAGAGAGGAGGGTGGGGTATATGTGAGAGGGGAAGTTGGCAGAATGAGATGAACATTATTACCCTATGTACAGGTATGATCGCATGAATGGTTGTACTCCATTCGTGTAAAAAATAATATTAAAAAATATATTTATATATATAAAATTATTCACTCACCAGATTTATATGAGTTACTTGTAACATACAAGTAGTGTTTTACTGAATCAAAAACATACTATATTTAAACCTAAGAAAATCTCATAAAACAACTGTTGCAGAACTGCCTTTTGCAGCTTTTTCAAACATTTCATTTACCTAAAAAGTCAGTTTCAAATAAATTAGTTACAAAGGAAAAGAAGTTTAAAAAAAAAAAAAGAATAGAACTAT